TGGGGCACATGACTTATGAGGAGAGGCTGAGGGAACTGGGCTTATTTAGTCTGCAGAAGAGTGAGGGGGGATTTGATAGCAGCCTTCAACTACCTGAAGGGGGGTTCCAAAGAGGATGGAGCTAGGCTGTTCTCAGTGGTGGCATTTGACAGAACAAGGTACAATGGTCTCAAGTTGCAGTGGGGGAGGTCTAAGTTGCACATTAGGAAAAAATATTTGACTAGGAGGGTGGTGAAGTACTGGAATGGGTACCTAGGGAGGTGGTGGAATCTCCATCCTTAAGAGGTTTTTAAGGCCCGGCTTGACAAAGCCCTGGCGGGGATGATTTAGTTGAGGTTGGTCCTGCGAGCAGGGGGTTGGACTAGATGACCTCCTGAGGTCTCTTCCAACCCTAATCTTCTATGATTCTATGGTAAGAATGTTAGAGAGCCAATGGCAGCACAGCTCCTGTGTAAGCCATGTTGCTAAGAGAAGGGTGACCCAGAAATAATATGGAGGTGAGGGGTCTGGCTCTCCATGCTGATACCCTGAGGTCTCTGGGATTTCCCTATAGATCTTGTGATATCTTCATGGTCAGAGGACAGAAACTCCCTTCCCCTTTCATAGCCTTGCAAACTCCTTCCCCCGAGAGGGTGATGTGCAGGAAACTTCTTGGAACACCATGCAATGAAATTTACAGATTTTTCCAGATCAGATTTTCCCTCCTACAGATTTCTCCATGGGAGAGAATGGTAATAACTTCCTTTGTTTAGCTGGGACAGTATGAGTAGTGCCATGAGTTTAAAAACTGTTTTCTGAGCTCTGATTCTTTTAATAGCAAAGCTGCTGAAATGATATGAAAGGAAGAAGAAATAAAGAGCAAATAAAGATGAAATACAGTGGGTATCAATTTTTTCAAAACTGTACAGTATTTTATCTTAAGCCTTTTCAAATGGCATTATCTGTTAACTGGGATAATGACTACTCCATAGGGATGTCTCAGTTATGACACTCTCTCGTATATGCTGTACATCTTAATTTCTGCAAATGGGAATCTTGACCAGGTAAATAAAGTGGCCAGATACTCACAGCTAGTGCAAATCATAGTTGAGGATCTGATCTAAAAGCAGAATTTTCCAAATGCAGAAACTATTTAAATGATGGAATAAACTGCTGCCACATCTCGCAATTCTTTTCTTACCGATTTATATTAATGGATATTACAAACTATAAGTCTGTGCCATCAAAAGTTTTAACCAGATATATAGCCCAATATTCCGCACCTACCAAAATGTATTAATCTTTATGGTAACAGAACAAATGTAAATGAACCTGGCTGACATTATAGGATGTAACATTAGAAGAGTGATATAAGCTTCTGGAATGCCATGAGAAGAGCTCCAATTCATTATATTTGTATTAGTTTCTTCCACAATTGTACTATAAAATAAGATGTGCCTTTAGATGGTACTAAGAATGGAGAAGGGGGGAAATAAAGCAAAAAAGATTTCTCCAATGTTATCTTTTAAAACCACAATCCTCAGCTGTAAATTCACTGCTCTTCATGCCCTCATTCTCCACAGTTACTGAGGACACAATGTTTTATGAAAGCCTTCTTTCAATGATGTGTGAAATTACGTCTACACAAACAATACTTTTCATAGCTGGCTTTCATTTAATAGAGGACACTGGTGACAGGGTAGTTTAATTGTAAATTGGGCTCTGTCTATATTAAGAGTCCAAAAAAATGTTAACCAGAACAATGTTTAATCTTACTAGCAGAGTCCTAACACAGTTCCCTATGGGTATGTCTACACTACAGCTGAGATCCTCTCAGGACTTGTCTATACTCAAAACGCTACAGCGGCACAGCTGCACCTATAGCGCTTCAGTGTAGACACTACCTATGCCGATGGGAGAACCATTCTCCTAAAGAGGTGGCAGCGAGGTCGACCGAAGAATTCTTCCATCAACCTAGTGCTGTTTACACCGGGGGTTCGGTTGTTATACTATGTCTCCCAGGGGTGTGGATTTTTCACACCCCTGAGCAATGTAGTTATACCGATGTAAAACCCTGATGTAGACCAGGCCTCAGTCTAGCTAGACAGACAGCAGTGTGAATGTTATGGCTCAGGCTGTCAAGCCCACCTGACCGCCTTGACTGCTACTTTTAGCTTACTAGCTGCTAGCCTGTCTACCTGGGCTGGGAGGCTCACTCTCAGCTGCAGTGTAGACATATCCTATGCTACTCTCCCTCCCCCTTCACAATGGGCCTGTTCAAAAGCTCATTTAAGTTATAAGAAAGACTCCTATTGAAGTTAGTGGGCTTTGGGTCAGGTTCTCTATATAGACTGGAGGACAAAGCTGCAGGGAAAAGCACTGAAGTTTCATATGGATGGAGGAAGCAGCGATGCAGGATTCTCCTTCCCCTTCTACATAGCGGTCAGTATTCTTTCCACAAAAAATGTACATGGCTGAAGCAGGAGTGGTGGGGATTGGGAGGAAGAGCTGGAGAATTACTGCTATAAAGCAAGATGTTTCCTTTTTTTTCCTACTAGGATTAATGCCACATAAAAAAGAAAAAGGTGGGAGGGGTGGGAGGAGATTCATTAATGCCGTTTAACTACCCCTCCATGATCTGACCGCGTGGGTGGGAACTGACTTTGTTATTTTTGCCTGGGAGAACCCGTCTGAGTGCCTAACCAGGAAGTCTCAAGATTGTGGCCAGAGTTGCTCATAGATCTGTAGCTTCCACTCCTTTTCCTGACCCTGGCCAATCCCTTCACATTCCTGATAGTCCAGTAGGTTTCAAGGAGGGAAAGACTTGCTCAGCTGCAGCACTGCTAAAGTCATGGTCCTGGGACTTCTGTTTTTTTAATTCTTCTTCTACTGTGCATGATTTTACACATTTCACCCCTGTGCAGATGGGCAGCACAAAACTTATGCACCACTGAGTCCCAGTCCAAACCTGAAAATAGGACTTCAGTGGTACATGGCCCTTTTGCTGGTTCTTGGCACTGGAGTGAATTTCACCCATAAGGAATATGGAAGTAACACGTTCCCAGGCAAAGCTGAATGATTTGTTAATTATTATTGTTAGATATATAAATAGTGGTGCTTATCAAAGGCTCTAGGCTTCTATAAGTAACAAAAACAAAATTAGATTGCCAACGGGGACCCCAAATTACCCTCTCTCCCATATGCTACCAATTTCTCTCTTTAGAGCACTGTTCATAAATAACAGGCTAAAGAACATTTCAGCTAAATTGCTAAATTGCCTAAGTAATTCAAAATAAACTAAACAAATTTGAAGTCGGCGACAAGAATAAACAACCCATGAATGAACCGCACACAACGCTTTGCAAGTTTTTCTCTAAAGGTGTAACAAACTTGGTGGTAGTGAACAGCTTTTGGTGTATTGCTTTTGTAAAAATATAAGGCTAGATTCTGCCATGCATCCAAGGCCTGGTCTATGGACAGTTTTTATACTGGTATAGTTGTTTTGGTTAGAGATGTGATTTTTTTTTTTAACTGAGACATCTAGCGTGGATGCTCTTATACCAGTATTAAGGTGCCTTATACTGGCATAGCTTATTCCTCTTCCCATTTGGGAATAAGCTATACTGAAGCTATGGCTACACTGGCGCTTTACACCCCCCTGAGCACAGCAAGTTACAGCGCTGTAAAGTGCCAGTGTAAACAGTGCCCCAGCGCTCGGAGCCGCGCGCCCAGCACTGTAAGCTAATCCCCTCGTGGAGGTGGAGTACCTGCAGTGCTGAGAGAGCTCTCTCCCAGCGCTGGCGCGCCACCACACTCGCACTTCAAAGGGCTCCCGTGGCAGCGCTTTGGAGTTTCGAGTGTAGCCACGGCCTGAGATAAAGTACCTTAAATACTGATATAACTGAGACCACACTAGAGATATTGTACTGTTTTAATTAGACAGACATAGTCAGTGGTATAACTTTTGTGTGTAGACAAGACCCTCTCAGTACAGTAGTATGAGGGGGCTATTAAGGAGGCATAACTAGCTCTCTGATTCTGCTGGCCAGGGCACCACTGAGACTTAAAATAGCCTAATTTATGACAGGAGAATATAATCTCAAAGGGACCTACAGCACTGCCCCTGCTCCCATAGAAGTCAACGGCAAAACTCCCATTGACTTCAATGGTGCATGATCAAGACCTAAGAATCATACACTAGCTGAAAACTGGTGCAGTGACGCTCCCTACCACTCCTTCTGAAACGGAAACCTTCCCTCCCCTGACATTGCCCCTAAACCAGGATGAGGGGGGCACTTGTCTCAGGAGCTGGCTCTGCTGGGTTTACCTCAGTTGAGAGCGCCACCCTCCATCAGGAGAATTCAATCATGGCAAGAATGCTTGAGTAGTGCAAAGGAGCCAGTCTGGACCTGAGAATCTTGCTCCCACTGCATAGGCAGTCCATAATTCAGGATCTACTTACTACCTTGTCAGTTTTTCTGCAAAAGTTCTCATATTCTATCTTTAACAATAGGCCACAGAGCTGCTTTTAAAAAGAGAATGTGAAAAAGGATCTCAAGCAGCAGACAAGGTGATTAAACAACCAAGTGCATTTTGCCGATCAAGCTCAGTGATTGCAAGTCATTAATATGCAAAACATGCACAAATTCAAAATAGCAATTATCCATGCAAAACATTTGGGATGATCTGAAAAATGTCAACTTGCCTTTCTCTTGCTATCACTTGTTGGGGTTTTCAGATACACATTTAAACACGGTTTTGTCCAATTTGAGGGGAGAAACAGCCTATATGCTTATAAAATGTACATAAATGCGCTTAGGAATTTATATAACGGGCATCGAAGCTATAGAAGCAAAGGTAAACATCCCCTTCATGAGAAGTAGACTTGTACAGAAGAGCTTCTAGGAACGAAATGTGTATGTACAATTATTCTAATTGCTTCCATCATTAAATATATCTTACATTATGTGATTAGACTCGGAATAATTTGGTAAAGAGTACTTTATAACTCATTTACTTACTTATGCATATATCCATCTGCATTCCCCGTTAGGTTCATCTGCATAACAGTCTGAAATTCTGTCTCATTGCAGCAGTATTTAAATACCGTGTTGTTATGGTGACAGCAGAAGATGTAAGATTTATTGTCAGAAAGACGTGGGCAGTGAAAACCAAAGTGGTAGCGGCCTTTGTAGTCTGTATATGGCTCACAGACACGAAAATGTGCAGACAATGCTGTAAAACAAAGATTGATATTGTCTTTGTGAGTCATATGTGTTAGTTGCATGTCACATCCATTTTCATTTTTCTGTTAATCTTAAACAATATTTCTCCTGGCTTCTGAGAAACAGTAATCATGTATTTCAGGAGTTTCAACCTTATAATATTTGATATGACTACTGACAGCATGAAAAGCATTTTTGTGATATTTTCAATTTTGAGTTACTATGTTTCTGACTTTTTTTTATTTTAATTCATTTATGTTTTAAACAGAAGAGAAGAAATTGCTGTCCAGAACTACCACAATCTTGGACAGCAGGGAACACTAAAATATTTAAGTACATATCTTCAACTATGAAGTTTTAAAACTATGGGATATCAGCAAAGATCTAGACAAGCTAGTTTAAGATTTTTCTGGGATGATTTTATTATCCCAGAAAAACATACATGCAAACTGAAATAAGAGTCCAAAGGCACATGATTTACAGTGGCTGTTATTAATGTGTCAGAAACATCTGCTCTACTGTAAAGGTCATTATTTTGATAGGCATTGATCTGCCAAAAATAATAATTAAAAGATATTACCATGCTAACAGAGCTGAACAACTGTGAATATACAAATATCGAGAACAAGAGCAATGGAAACACAATTACTATTGAGATCTTAATTTTTTTTTTAATTAAATTCTCATGTAAAGCATGTATTATGTCTCTTAAACCATTTTCCAGGTTTTTGTTACACTGGTTTTGCTGGCCAATTCTCTTGAAAGAAAGAAATCATCTCTGTATATTTCCCCAGAATGTGGGCTCTAGGTTAATTGTTGTGTGGTGGTTAGTATGCCTTGTAGGAGTTTGAGGTCTGTAGCTAACCCCCAGCTCTCACACATTGGCAGTACTTTAATTTATTTAGGGTTTATATTATGGTAGTGCCTTGAAGCCACATCTCAGATTACACACACAGTCTCTGCCCTTGAAGACCTTACAGTCTAAATATAGACCACAGACAAAATGTGGGAGAAATGATGTATTTTTATTCGGATTTTACAGAACTGAGACAGACACACTAGGGACTGCTGTACACACAAAGTTGCACCAATCAATTAAGGTGTTATTTTAAACTGATTGAGTTAACTGGTGCAACTTTGTACATGGACACTCATATTTTTATATTTGTTTGAAAATTGGGATCACGATTCTGACCTTTTCTGTTAAATCACTTTGAGATCTTCTGTTGAAAAGCTCTATATAAGAGGTAGGTGGTGGTCTCATTATTACTTATTATTATTGTGTCAGTTTACCAATATAGAGTGTACACACAAAAGTTTGCACCAGTTTAACTAAACTGGTGTATATTTGGCTGTAGACAACGCCTGAGTGAATTAGGTGCCAATAAAAATTTAAGAGAAATGAGTGCATTTCAATCCTGGCATTACTCCTTTGCTATGATCTACTGCGAGGAAGAATATGCCATTTTGGGGTTAAGGCCACAGCCGAGCCGTGGAACTCAGAGGTTCTGAGGAGAGCTGGTCGAAAACCAGAATTTCTATCCATTTTCTATCAAAATTCTGATATTTTGACATCTATTTTTATCCTGAATCAGGGTGAATATCTGAAATATCAAAACTTTTCATGGAATTGAAAGTTCAGGAAAATTTCACTACCATCCCTAACTTCATCAATGAGTTTCAACCCATTATTTTGTAACTAAAGCATCAGTCAGGTGAATTAAATCTAACTATATGCTTAGGAGTTAAAGCGGACAGGGGAGATATTCTTTGTAGCATGCATGCATGGCTCCCTTTATTGTGAGTTATTTGTACAGCCACCTCAAACTAGCGAGTACCAATAAGTCCTAAATTTTGTATCTTCTTGCTCTCCATCACAGTCTTAGTAGTCCCAGTTCAATCATATTGGTCAAAGGGTTGCCACTAGAGCTGGCCTATACGAATTCCATTTTAGTGAAAAATGTCAAGGGTTCTAAATTTGTTTTCATTCTACATCAGAATGAAACCAAGACCTTTCAAAATTTTCATAAAAATAACATGAGAGTCCCTGTCCCCCCTCAGAAGAGCCACTAGCTCAGGGCGTGAGTGTCAGAAACCAAGTTGGGGATGGTCAGGCCTAGTGGTCAGAGCTGTGGCAATTGGGACTAGTAGTTGGAGCCAGGGGGTCAGAGCTGGAATCAAGAATCAGAGCAAGAGTGAGGCTGGAGCAGGCTAAGGCTTGTGGAGTCTGTTAGCACTATCAGGTAGGGAAGAGTCCCTAGCCATGAAGTGATGTTGAGCAAACAGATCTGCTGTTTCTCCTTTGAGAGTTATATACCTGCCCTGAGAGTCACCAGACTGGCTCTGGGCTTGTGGACTGGCTGGAGCCTAACACAGGAATGATTCATCACCCTGTGTGGCTTAATCAGGCTCTAGTTTGGGGATGACTCATCACATCCCATTAGGGCACTCATCTGGGATACGGGAAAACCAGGTTCAAGGCCCTGCTCTGCCCGGGCTAAACACTAGGCCAAATCAGGCAGAGCACAGCCTTCAACTTGGGCCCTAGGAGAGTGCTCTAAGCAGTGGGTTACTGGCTATTCTGTGGTGGGTCACTCTCTTCCATCCTGGAGCTGAGGAACCTTTTGTTTCAGCAAAAAAGTTTCAGTTTTGATGAACTGGCACTTTGTGACAAAAAAATGTTTGTTAAAAAATTCCTGACCAGCCCTAGTTGCAATGTTCCTACTCTGCTACCACCTTTTCTAGCAGAGTTCTAGCCTGCCTGTCCTTACCGTAGGCTTTCCTTTTCATTCCTATTTCCATCTATTCAGACACCTTTCTGCCTGCTGGCAAGGAGCTGCATCTCCTTTCCTAGGCCAGCCAACACAGCTGAAGCTGCTCAGTCTAGGTCTATACTATTCTGGTTCTTCTACCAACCCCATCATCTTGTTATCTGAACTATCCAGCTGTTTCTCTACCCCCACTGTTGCTGCTTCCCTGTCTGCCTGGCTCTCCAAAACCATGTCCCCAGAACTGCTGCACTGTACACTTGGGACTTGTCAGTTCATTGTCATCCCAGTCTTTGTTATCTGTGCCTTGTGGTTGTGATCAGAAACTATGCCCTTAATGATTATTAGATATGATCTTCAAATATCCTTGTTTGTCTATATTCTACTTTTTAATAGATCATGGTGCTTGAAATAAGGCACCATCTTACATAGAAATCTTTCTATTAGGTCTTCATTCCTCTTCAAGTATGAAATTAATATAATTGCAGTAAAAAGCAGCATCCTGTAGTTCTTTTATTCAAATTATGCAAAGCCAGTAGTCTCCCTTTACAGAATCTGGGGCATACAGGCCATACATTGTATATATATCTGAGTTGATTACATAGATAAACACAAGTTGCCCTGTAATTACTTTGGTTATCAACAAAGTTACTATGGACCTTTGTTACTGTGATGCTGCTACAAAATTAACATGCCTCCATTGTTTTAGGCAACTTGCCATTTATGTGAAAGGAGGCCAAGAAAACACTCTCAATTGTGTTAATGCTTTGTAAAGGCTGGGGATAGAATTTTCAAAGGTACTTGGCACTGGTTAACACCATTCCCAATGGTTAAAACTCTCACTGACTTCAGTAGACACAGAGTTAGGCCAGCACCGAATTCTTTTGACAGTCCTACCTGGGGTACATAAATTAAAGCTGCCATTATCATTTTAAACACCTATCCTGCAGCATAGCACCATGCCCTATGTGCTAAAGAGAAATGTCAAAAAATAATAAAGGATCTATGACAGGATAAGGTACTCATGCATAAACAAATAAAATAAAATGCTAGAATAGTGCCTGGTATTTATCAATGATTTATATAATATGCAGAAATCCTATGTAAACAGGATAAAATCAAAGACGTATTTCTTTACAGACAGCATGTCCCCTCCCTCCAAAGAGACAGTGTCAGGGCTGAAAAGGCTAAACATATTAAATTCAGACCTAACAGGTTTGTTCTGGTTTGAGGCTAGATGTTTGTGTGACACATATAAAATATATCTTCAAACCAAAACAAAGCTGAACCATTTATATGAACAGTCAAGGTGTAACATTAACGTTGCAAAGTAAAATTCTCAAAAGCCAGTAAATATGAACATTATGGCAGAGGTACGAACTTAACTCTATCCCCTGTGCATATGCATATGAAATAGTCTTTATTAATATGACATGCTGTTTCTGAGATAGATGATAATATATTTTTTTCCTACAATGTAGGTCAACACGTGTATTTGGGATAACTTATGATCATGTAATTAAAGGTTATCAGCATGCCTGAACAATGTGCGGAGTAAAGGTTCTAAATTCAACCCTATTTTGCCCACATTTCCTGCCTTTAGATTATTTATTTGACTCTGCCACTATCTGTGTAAACTTGAGTAAGTCACTCAACCTCTTTGTGCCTCAGTTTCTCCATCTCTAAAATAGGGATAATGCTCATCTAACTTCATAAAGCACATTAAGAAATATGAATGAAAATCATTATATAAGAGCTAGTTGTTATTATTCATCCTCAATCAATCCATTCCAAGTTTCAAATGTATTTGCTGTATTCCTCATGACAGAAGTGCAGTTAGAGTATTTTAAAATGGGATGGATGTCGTTTTACTCCCTTATAGAACTAGGAAAAAAATTGATCGGATTCTGCTTAAACTTCCCCAGAGTAAATCACCTTCACACAGAATTACAAACATGGAAAATTTCAGAAAATTGGTGAGTTTCTGAAAGTTATGAACCTGTGAAAAGTACTTCTTTTAATTGGAACTCCTTTGTAAACTTAACTATAGCAGCGGAAGAATATGAACAGGCAGAGTGTGAGGTTAACATGATCCGTACACATAGACACACCACCTCTTTTGTCCAGTGTGAAAATACACATGATTAAACCTTGCTTTCTAGGTCTGTAGTAGGTGGATCATTTGGAAGAATTGTTTGATTTATATGGTTTCAGAATTAAAATAGTAAAGAAAATGATTATTAAAGTTGAGTGTCAAATGTTGAATCTGTTTATCTTGTCTGTCTCTCATTAGTGTTACTTTCCTAAATGAAATAGTATTGCTCTTCTTGTTTTAGCTTCCTGTCACCAAATGCACAGCTAAGAGGGAGAGATAGCTCAGTGGTTTAAGCATTGGCCTGCTAAACCCAGGGTTGTGAGTTCAGTCCTTGAGGGGGGCCATTTAGGAATCTGTGGCAAAAATTGGGGATTGGTCCTGCTTTTAACAGCGGGTTAGACTAGATGACTTCGTGGAGTCCCCTTCCAACCCTGATATTCTATGATTTTAAGTTGCACAGTGCTTTTATTTCAACTCTTAGTGTTACTTATGGTACCGTTAGTTTTGTAGGCACTTGGGATTGATGAAGTTTTTAACCCATTCATCCCCTCGCCCAGCTCACATAAAAATAAATTTCTGGAAGAAACATTACCTGCTGACAAGAGCAATAAGAACACAACCATCAGCACATTCAAGGACTGTTGACCACAACTTGTCATCGTTTTGTTTTCATTGATCCATTAGAGAATTACCTGTTTAATAAGATGCAATATCATAGTTAGGTGTCAATATCATCTCACCCTTATCTGCTTAAATCTGTACTTGCAACACGGCTTTGCAACAGAGAAAATGGTTTAGAGCAGTAGCTCCAACCTTTTTACACCCAAGATCACTTTTTGAATCTAAGGGCAACCCAGGATCTACCCCGCCACTTCCCTGAGGCCCCGCCCCTTCCCCAAAGGCCTGCCCCACTCACTCGATCCCCACTTCTCTCTGTCGCTTGCTCTCCCCTACTCTCATTCAGTCTCACTTGGGCTGGAGTAGAGGGTTGGCGTTCAGGAGGGGGTGCGGGCTCTGGGCTGGGGCCGAGGGGTTCGCAGTGTGGGAAGGGGTTCTGGGCTGAGCCTGGGGCAGGGTGTTTGGGTGCAGGAGGGGGCTCTGGGCTGGGTATGGGGGTGCTGGCTCTGGAAGGGGGATCAGGGCTTGGGGTGCAGGAGGAGGTTTGGGGTGCTGACTCAGGGAGGGGGCGCAGAGTGGGCCTTGAGGTGTGGGAGGGGGTTCAGGGTGCAGGAGGAGGTATGGGGTGCTGGCTCCATGAGGGGGCTCAGGGATGGGGTGCGGCCTCGCGCTGAGCAGCACTTACCTCTGGTGGCTCCAACTCGGCGGCAGGTGCAGCGAGGCTAAGGCAGGCTCCCTGCCTACCCCGGCCCCACATTGCTCCCAAAAGGGGCCAATGCACCCCTGTGGCCCTGGAGGGAAGGAGGGGCAGGGGGCATGTGGCTCCATGTGCTGCCCCTCTCTGCAAGCACCGCCCCCACAGCTCTCCTGGCCAATGGGAGCTGCGGGGGTGGTGCTTGCAGGCAGGAGCAGCGCGCAGAGGGAGATCCCGGCTCCCCCGCCCCCGGGGCTGCGCTGGCCACTTCCAGGAGCAGCATGGGGCCAGGGTAGGCAGGGAGTCTGCCTTAGCGGCAGCCACACTACACTGCTACAGATCACGATCGACTGGGAGAACCGCTAGAATCAACCAGTCGATCATGATCGACCGGTTGGTGACCACTGGTTTAGAGTAATACAATGCGAAAACAAAACTGTCTTATTCCCACTACAACCGTTGCATGGAAAAACACATTTCCCATAAGAAAATTTAAAATATGCTATCCTTTTATTTAGCTATGTGTACATTAAACAGTGTGAGTTATGTATACCCTTTATATTCTACAGCATTAAGTAGAGGTGAGCCAAAGGGAGTGCTTGGTTGGTTATTCACACCAAACTTTGTAATGTAAGAGACCATGCCTCAGGCAGTGGAATACTGTCAGCAAATTGGGCTGTTTTAGTATGTCTGGAAGAACTACAGGAGTTAAAATGAGTTAAAATAAATAGGGCTGTCAATTAGTCGCAGTTAACTCATGATTAACTCAAAAAATTAATCATGATTAATCGCACTGTTAAACAATAGAATACAAATTGAAATTTATTAAATATTTTTGGATGTTTTTCTACACTTTCAAATATATTGATTTCTACTACAACACAGAATACAAAGTGTACGGTGCTCACTTTATATTATTTTTTATTACAAATATTTGCACTGTAAAAATGATAAAAGAAATAGTATTTTTCAATTCACCTCATACAAGCACTGTAGTGCAATCTCTTTATTGTGAAAATGTAACTTACAAATGTAGATTTTTTTTGTTACATAACTGCACTCAAAGACAAAACAATGTAAAACTTTAAAGCCTACAAGTCCACTCAGTCCTACTTCTTGTTCGGCTAATCACTAAGACAAACAAGTTTGTTCACATTTACGGGAGATACTGCTGCCTGCTTCTTATTTACAGTGTCACCTGAAAGTGAGAACAGGAGTTTGCATAGCACTTTTGTAGCCGGTGTTGCAAGGTATTTACATGCCAGATATGCTAAACATTCGTATGCCCCTTCATGCTTTGGCCACCATTCAGAGGACATGCTTCCATGCTGATGATGCTCATTAAAAAATAGTGCATTAATTAAATTTGTGACTGAACTCCTTGAGGGAGAATTGTATGTCTCCTGTTCTGTTTTATCCACATTCTGCCATATATTTCATGTTATAGCAGTCTCGGATGATGACCCAGCACATGTTGTTCATTTTAAGAACACTTTCACAGCAGATTTGACAAAGCACAAAGAAGGCACCAATGTGAGATTTCTAAAAATAGCTACAGCACTCAACCCAAGGGTTAAGAATCTGAAGTGCCTTCCAAAATCTGATCAGGATGGGGTACGGAGCATGCTCTCAGAAGTTTTAAAAAAGCAACACTCCAATGCGGAAACTACAGAACCCGAACCACCAAAAAAATGAAAATCAACCTGCTGGTGGCATCTGACTCAGATGATGAAAATGAACATACGTCAGTCTGCTCTGCTTTGGATTGTTATCGAGCAAAACTCGTCATCAGCATGGATGCATGTCCTTTGGAATGGTGATTGAGGCATGAAGGGACATATGAATCTTTAGAGCATCTGGCACGTAAATATCTTGCGATGCCAGCTACAACAGTGCCATACGAATTCCTATTCTCACTTTCAGGTGACCCTGTAAACAAGAAGTGGGCAACATTATCTCCTGCAAATTGTAACCAAACTTGTTTGACTGAGTGATTGGCTGAAGTAGGACTGAGTGGACTTGTAGGCTCTAAAGTTTTACATTGAATGCAGGTTTTTTTGTACATAATTCTACATTAGTAAGTTCAACTTTCATGATAAAGAGATTGCACTACAGTACTTGTATTAGATGAAGATATTTCTTTTGGTTTTTACTGTGAAAATATTTTTAATCAAAAATAAATATAAAGTGAACACTGTACACTTTGTATTCTGTGTTGTAATTGAAATCAATATATTTGAAAATATAGAAAATATCCAAGAATATTTAAATAAATGGTATTCTATTATTGTTTAAGAGTGTGATTAATCGTGCGATTAATCATGATTCATTTTTTTAATTCCTTGACAGCCCTAAAAATAAATCAATCATTTTTACATTTAAATACTTATAAGCAACACCTAGGTTCATCCCATTAGAACAGTGGTTCTTAACCTTTTTTCATTTGCGGACCCCTAAAATTTTTTTAATGAAGGTACAGACCCCGTTGGAAATTTTAGACATAGTCTACGGACCCCCAGAGGTCCACGGAGTACAGGTTGAAAACCAATACATTAGAAGATGCAGTAGTTCACAAAGTGGGTTAGACAACAGAGCTAGTCGGAAAAATTTTAACGAAATATTTTTTATCAGAATTTGCCGATTTGTGGAAATTGAAATGTCCATTGACTCTGATGGAACTCTGCTTGATTGCCTGCAAGCTCGTTCACCTACCCAGTTCCTTGGCAGTCCACCTGGCAGCCGCCATAAAAAGGCTGCTTTAATTTATGTCTAAGGCTGGTCCAGCCCAGCCCAGACCCAAGATTGGGGGAGTGAAAAGTTATCTTAAATCCATGTTTGTTCTACCCCATCAGTTGTGCTGAGCATTCTTTAAAAAGACAGGAGTACTTGTGGCACCTTAGAGACTAACAAATTTATTTGAGCATAAACTTTCGTGGGCTAAAGCTTATGCTCAAATAAATTTGTTAGTCTCTAAGGTGCCACAAGTACTCCTGTTCTTTTTGTGGATACAGACTAACACGGCTGCTACTCTGAAACCTGAGCATTCTTTGAGGATCTGCCTCAAAGTGAATTTTGCCATTTATGTCAATGGGAGTAGACCCTATGCCTGGTACCTAGAGTGCTGCAGTACACCCTCTCCTGTCTTCCGTGGCAGTATATCTAAAGTTAGTACTACATTAGCTGTGACAGCAAAGGGCATGAAGAGAAGAAATTCTTTTATTGCTTATTCACCAATGTTAGTAGCCTGGATAATAAACAATAGGAACTGGAATTGCTCAGTTGTGAGCATAAATTTTATCTAGCTGGTATTACTGGATCATGATGGGATTATTGGCATGACTAGAATATTAAAAATCAATGGGTTAAATCTATTTTGGAAGGATGGAGTGGAGAAACGGAGAGAGGGGAGTGCCATACTATGTCAAAAAAAATTACTACTTATCACCGACAACTCAGAAGCAAATGTTCTTGAATGCGGATAGATAAATGTTCTAATAGATAAAGCACAAGATGGGGAACTAGTTGGTGTCTTCTACAGACCACCAAATCTCTCTCACACACGCTCACATGCAAAAGGGGACTTCAACTTGAGTGACCTAAGGTGGAGGTCTCATGCTGCCAGTATTAAAAAAACAACTTTGGAATTTCGAACACTTATATATGACAATTTCCTAACTCAAAAAGGGTTACATCTAACATGGTGGGATTTAATATTAGACCTCATCTTGACAAATAAAGAGGAACTGGTCACAGAACTAAAATTAGAGGTAGCTCAGGCTAGGTCTACACTACGGGGGGGGGGGGGTGTCGACCTAAGATATGCAACTTCAGCTACATGAATAACCTAGCTGAAGTTGCGTATTTTAGGTTGACTTACCTGGCTGTGAGGACGGCGGCGAGTCGACCGCTGCCACGCCGCCGTTGACTCCGCTTCCGCCTCTTGCCGCGGTGGAGTTCCGGAGTCGACGGCAGAGCCATCGGGGATCGAGTTTATGGCGTCTTCACTAGACGCGATAAGTCGATCCCCAATAGATCGATTGCTACCTGCCGATCCGGTGGGTAGTGAAGATGTGCCCTCTGATACAAGTGATTTATGATTTGATTATGTTTGTTCTGTGCAAATAGAATAAAATCCAAATCAATTTTATATATAAGTTAGGAAATTGTCCTAACTATGAGTTAGGAAATTGTCATATATAATTGTTTGAAACTGCTTTCAAAGGGCCAATTTTACTAACCTGAAATCAATTATAAGTTAAATCTGTTGGGAGAAAGAATTTAAACAGAAAAATGCAAACAATAACTGGGTACTTATTAAGAACATTTTACTATATACCCCAAAAGCCACAAATGAGAAAGAAGGCCAGATTGGTTAATAAA